AAAAAAAAAAAAAAACAACTACACTGGAGGCCACTGTCCATCTTCAGTTGGCAAAATGACACCTACAAGATTTATCCCAAAATTAGGTAATTTTAACCCTGTGTGGGTGAGAGTGAGGTCACCAGAGAGTGTGGCACCCATCCCCCCCTACTTCTCTGAAGGACAAATTGGCAAGATTTATCCAAATCACAATGCACTGGCCAACCCTGCAGTTTGGAATCCACCCTACAGATGTCCTTCCACACAGACAAGAAGCATGTGATAAGGAAAAGGAGGAATCAATCAAAACATCACTGACTAAATAAAACCAGCATGGTTTCCATGCATGCTGTAGAATACTATGCAGCCATGAAAAAGACAGAAGCAGCACAAAATGATCTCCAAGCTATGTCGGCAAGAGACAAGCCTCCTTAGATGGGCCTGGTGGTGCACATCTGTAGTCCCAGCTACTTGGCAGGCTGAAGCAGGAGGATCACTTTAACCAAGGAGTTTGAGGCCAGTCTGGGCAACACAGCAAGACCCCATCTCAAAACAAAGTGCAGGGAGGGGCGGGGATGTGGTCCAGGGGTGAAGACTTGCCTAGCATGGCCAAGATCCTGGCCAACTGCAAAAAAGAGAATCGAGTCCAGCGAGGACCCGCAGTGGACGTGCTCATATGTGCCTGGATCCCTGAGGGACGTGCCGGGGTTCTCCGCAGCGGTTGCCCCAAACAAGGAGACCCCGCCGAGGGACAGGCGCTGCTCCCTGTCCCCTCCCAGGCTGTCGGAACAGCATGCGCATGCGCGGAATGATTTTCCCTCTTAAGGAAAAGCGCGGGCTGCAGGTCACGTCACCTCTGTGGACAGTGACCACACGCACCGTGCTCGGCCGGTGCGGGGGATCATGTGGACAGTGCGAGCCGGGGCTCCCAGGAAGCGCAGTCCTTGTCGGCTAGAAAGGGGGACAGGTACCGCCGTAGAGCCTCGGAGCGCGTGCTCGGAGGACCTCCTGTGGCAGGGAGGAGCTGGGGGCTTCCTGGGAGAGGTGGCCTCGAGAAGGGCCTTGGGGTCAGGGTTCACACAGCAGAGGAAGAGGGGGGCCTGGGACCCCTCCATCACGGGGCACCCAGCTTAGCTGAGCACCTACTCCACTCCAGCCACCACGGTGGGCAGGACACACAAAAGCCGAATGGCGGGACCAGCCGAGGACGGTGACAGAAAGCCGAGTGACCAGCAGTGAAGATCGGGGACAGCGCATTGCCTAGCTCCACGAAGGCTCCGAGAGGGAGAGGGACTGTCCGGTGTCACACAGCAGGTTCTCAACTTCTGAAAATAGTCTTCCCCAGCTCCCCCTCCCCTCAAGCCTGGGGAAGGCAAAGCCCACCGGGGCCTGCCTGGCGTCCACTCACAGATGGCAGACACCGTGCATCTCCAGCGGGGGCTCCAGAGGAGGGACAACTGGTTCTTGGTTGGTAACAACACCTACGTCATGTGTAGGGACTCCTCAGGGACAGTCCCATGCTAAGTGCACTGCATGCATTAACTTGGGGAGGCCACCCCTGCGCTTTGGGGTCAGCCCATTTTGTAGATGAGGGAATTAGGCACAGAGAAGTTTAGCTGCTTGCATAAGGTCACACAGCTCATCAGAGACAGCGTCAGAAGGCAAATCCAGATGTCTGGACACCAGTCTTGTATACCCTGGGGCCCATCCCCCAAAGGGGGCCCTGCGGGCCTGGATCAGCAATCACACCGCCTCAGAAGGACAGGGGGAGCGGTGCTCAGCTGGTCAAGGAATGTCTCCTGAGAGCACTGGGGCCGGGGAGTGGGTGCGGACGCCGAGGGGGGGACGGGCAGTGGTCAGGTCCTGGAGCACAGAGGCCCACAGGCACCTGCGGCAGGGAGCAGCACCGTGGTGAGGGAGGCCCGGCTGCCGCCCACCGGACTCCGGGCGAGTCGACCGAGGCCTCCTTCGGCACCAGGGAGGTGGCCACGGCCACCCTCAGGCAGTGCCACGCTAACCGGTTCCTCCATGCAAAGCCCTGGGCGCCCAGGCCAGCCTCAGGGAAGAAGGGCCTCCTAGCGCTGAGCCCGCCCCCGCCATTCCTGCCCTTGAGCTTCTGGTCCCAGTGAGACACCCTACGCAGGGACCGTCGGCCCGTCTTTCAGAAGAAGGGACAGAAGAGGGACAAAGAAGCCAAGAGGGTGCAGGGCCACTATCCAGGCTGCAGAGGACCAGCCGAGGGCTCTGGCTCCCCTGCTCCCACAAGGTCACTGGTCCCAGCTGGGCTCAGGGGGTGGCAGCCGTCTTCCAGAGGGAGACCTGGAGGCCCAGACAGGGAGACGGGCGCAGGCCACGCGGCCTCCAGGTACGGAGACCTCCCGCCCCATCCTCGGCCTCCGCGCCAGGGCCAGGGCCTGAGGAGGCAAATGGGGTGGGCATGTGGCCCCGGAACCCCCACGGCTGGTCCCCAGCTGACACGCCTCGCTCCTCAGGACGTCCTGGAGCAGGCCGCCAGCACCTGCCACCCACTGAGGCCCAGGCCGGGGCCTGAGGAAGCCGGCCCAGCCGCCCTCTGCACAGATGGGTCGCCAGCCCTGGCCCTCGCGTCTGGAGTGATCTCCTGCTCCCTGGGGCTTCGTGGGGTCTTGTTGTTTGTTTTGTTGCAGGGGCCACGGAGCCACGTCCCCAGCCCTTTTTACTTTTTGAGACAGGGTCTCGCCAGGTTGCTGAGGCTGGCTTTGAATTGGATCCTCCAGCCTCAGCCTCCGCTGCAGGGATTGCAGGCCACCGGGGCCTGGTTTGGATCTGAATGGCGCCAGGAGGGACCTAGGCGCAGGCCTGGGAGAGGGGGCGTGAGCAGGGAAGGTTCCCTCACCGGCGCTCGGCCACCCACCAAGAGCGTCCCCACCACCCGCACTGCAGGTGCCCAGTCCCCGGCAGCTGGTGACAAGTCCCTCTCCCACTCCCCCATAAAAGGGGCTCCCCCCAGGGCCCCTGGGAGAAGGGCCACAGGAGGAGCGCAGGGCTGGGCTCTTCCCGGGAAGGAGTGAGGGTGTGTGACGGGGCGAGGTGACCGTGCAGGCCTCCTCCTGCCCCTCGATGCCCCCGACAGCTCTGGGCCAAGCTGTGGCCACACTGATTCCACCTGGGGACGCCGGCTCAGGAGGCGGCCAGCCCACGCCCTCCTGGCACCAAGGCCCACCGTGTCCGGGGCGCAGGGCGGTCCTGCTCCTGGACGTGGAGCAGCGCGAGGGCCCGGGGCAAACGCCAGGCGAGGCGGGGGTTCAGAGTAGGAGTGGGCCACAGCTAGGCCAGGTGGCTGCTGGCCCTGGGACCCGGCACGGGGAGGCCCAAGGAGGACCCCAAGAGGGGCCTGTCCAGCAGTTCAGGCCAGGGGGGCCTGGAGGACTGAGCGGGGAGCACCCGGCTCTCAGGGCCCTGGGGAGGGCGGGGGGACACAGGCCGCGTCCCCCAGGGATCCTGCCAGGGCACAGGGACCCCTAGCCCTGGTGGGCTCGAGGGGCAAGAGGACACCTGAACACGGTGGGCTTCCTGGAGGAGGAGAGCTGGCTGAATGCGAGGCTGGGCAGGAGGGGCCCAGCAGAAGGCCTGCTCTGGCACAGAGCCACTGGGCTGGTTCTGTCCCGCCCCACCCACTTCAGTCTCTCCAAGGCCCTCAGCCCAGAGGGAGGTCCGGGGAGGGAGGGGAGGCTGGGTCCTCCTCCCGGCAGCCCCTCAGGCTGGGGGATGACGAGGTGGGTTGGGGGCTTCACCCCCAGCTTCTCCCCCAGGGCTCACCGAGTGGCAGCATAGCTTACAGAGCCAGGAGGTCACGCCCCAATCTCAGGGAGGACTTCCAAGCTCTCCCCGTTCACCCATGAAAAATCTGAGGCTCACAGAGGGGGACACCCAGCCCTGGGTCACACAGCAAGGCTAAGGCCTGCCAGTGAATGACGATGTGGGCAGGGCTACCAGGCCCAAGGGCACCAACGGAGGAGAAGCAGGACAGGAGATGCCAGCCCCAAGGGGCCCACTGGCCACTGGGTCTCAGGGGCCACCAGGTAGCGCGGGGCAGTCTGAGGGGGGTGAAGCACCACTGGCTGCACAGGGCCCCACCAGCAGCATCTCGTGGCCCTGGGCAACCCACACCCCGAGGGGCCTCAGCACCAGCCCCAGGACACCGGGCCCTGGCCCATTGAGGACCCTCAGCAGACCCCTCTCAGGATGAGGGGTGCTGTGGGACACTGAGGGGACAGGTTCCCCTCCCAGCCCTCCATGGTCACCTCTCCGGGGGCCTCGGCTGCCCCACCCCCACCAGCTGGGGCGGCTGGGCTTGGGGACGGCACCAGCCGGGCCCTGCCCACGGTGCCCGCTGTTCCTGCCAGCAGCTCCGCTGCCTCCCAGCTTGGGAACACAGTGCCCCCTCCCCGCCCACACCATGCACATCCCCTCTGGGGACGCCAGTGGGCAGGGGCACCCGGTGGGCAGGCCCTGCCACATGACCAGCCTGAGCCGAAAGCCCCAGCAAGGCTGCAGGAAGGTCCAGCCCCGCCCTACCCACCACGACCCTGGGCCGTCAGCAAGGGCTGGGACCCAAACACAGCACCTGCCGCCCCGGCTCGCCCTTGTGGCGGGGCCTACTGCAGCGCCCTCTCCCATCCTCGGTTCTGCCCCAGCCTCTGAGCCTTCCCACGTGCTGTTCCCTGCCCTCCCCTTTGCCCCCATGCACTCCAGGGCACCTGTAGGGCTCAGCACAGGCAGTGCCAGACTCACCTGCCCCCGAGGCAGAGGCTGCCACTCTTCTGGACTCACACACCACCCTCCTCCAGCACACAGGGATCAAGACCTGGACTGTCGGGTCAGAAACCCAGCTCTGGTCCTTCCTCACTGTGTGACCTTGGGAAAGTTTCTCTACGTCTCTGTGCCCGTTTCTTCTCCTAGAAACTGGGAAAAGCATTACAAACGCCTTCAAAGAACTTCGTCAGGATTAAATAAATTCATATTTGTGAAGTTCAGAACAGGATCCAGACCCCGGCAAGTGTACCCCAAGTGCTTGCTGTCAAAGCAATTGCAGCAGCTCAGATCTGTTGAGCGCTGCTGTGCCAGGCCCTAGGCTCCCTCAGCCTCTCACCTGAACTACCTCACAACAGCCTGGGGTGCAGGAGGGGCTGTCCTGAACCTCACATAATGGCAGGGGAGGGAGGCCCACAGGCATCCACTTCACCATCAAAATACATCTGGGGAAGGAGAGGATTTTTGCTGATGTGATGGCGTCATTCTGGATTCCTGCTGGGTGGACTGTGGTTTTGTGGCGTTTTGTTTTTTTGCAGTGCTGGGGGTTGAACCCAGGGGCGCTCTACCACTGAGCTACGTGCCTACACCCTTCTTATTTGTTTTGAGACAGGGTCATTGCTGGGGCTGGCCTCAAACTTGAGATCCTCCTTCCTCAGCCTTCTGTGGCCGAGGCTACAGGTGTGTGCCAGTACACCAGCTGGGATTTGCTTTAAAATGACCCAGGATGGGGGTGGAAGGGGTATGGTCAGGCACCACAGGTCTAGGGCTGGTGATGGTGGAGGCTGAGCGAGGGGTTCAGGAGGTTCAGTATCAATATGCCTCCAAGACAGAACGTGTAAAAGGACTAGATATGTTAACACGAGACCTGCCTACACGTGGAATATGTATTTATATGGGAGACATGCACACTTGACCTCCTGGTCCTCCAACAACCCCAGGCACCAGGGGCCTCCCTGCTGGGCTCAGGGGACAGCTGCCCCCCTCCCCACTGGTCCACCTGCCCAGCACTCACCCCCTGGTCCTGGGGGGCTCCACACAGCCCAGCTGCACCCAGACACCCATGCGCCACCAACTTGCTCCCCGTCAAATCCAAAACGGCCCAGAGGCCTCCCTGGACTGGCCTTCGGCTGTGTGACCCCATCCTTCTGTCTCGACTCCTTGCCGCTCCTCTAACATCCGGGGCTGGCTCCTGCCTGGGGTCTCTGCACTGGCTGTTCCCGCCTTAGCATCCCTCCCCCAGGACCCCCAAGGCTTGCTCCCCTCCTTCAGCGTGAATGTCCAATCGCATCCCATCCTCCGACCCAGACGGCACTTGACCCCTCCCTATTTCACGTTAGAGGGGGGGGGACAACTGCAACCTGCCTACAGAGGTGCGCTTCAGACTCTTCCATTAAACCGTGCACAGAGGCAGGGGAATGTCCTGGTTGGTCCTCTGCAGGATCTCCAGGCTCCAGACCACTCCGGCACACGGGGTGCTCAGGGAGCACTTTGGGGGTGGATGGGTGCGTGATGGGCTGGCGGATGGGGGTGGATGGGTGCGTGATGGGTGGGTGGGTAGTGGTGGAGGTACGGGTGGGTGGGTGAAGGCCCCGTAGGACGAAGAGGTGGCAGGCCTCGGCCCCAAGCCTGTCCAGCCCACGGCCTGTGCCCGGCACACTCCGCCGCTACCTGCTGGCCCCCTCACGGCAGGACCTCTGAGCGCCACTTACACAGAGCAGTGCTCATGTTGGAGCCGACTGCAGGGCCCAGCCCCGCCCAGCGCAGGCCCAGGCCCAGAGCCTGGGTGTCAGGAGATGCCTGCGGAGCCAGCAAGGAGTGATCGGGGCGTCCAAGGGCCAGGGCAGCCAGAACGTGTCTGTCCCTGCGTTCATGGTCCCAACACGCTCGAGGCTGGCAGGCCTCAAACCGGCTCTGCCAGGGCAGTCGGGGTGGGGCCGCTGCAGGCTCGGGCTGGCACGGACGAAGGTGCTTCCGCAACAGGGCCTGCGGCCGGGGCATGCCAAGAAGGGACCCACGGGCCTCCTGCTCCTCCAGCCCTCTAGGGACAGCACGGCCCTGCCTGCTGCTCCCAAGGCTCCCTGGGCAGGATGCGGGCCACTTTCTGGACCCCAGTCCCTGAATGGGGACAGGATCCCTTCCCATGAGGGCCTGTCCCAAGCCTGGAGCCCCAGAGGGAGGGACATAACCAGGAAGCAGGTGGTGGCTGAGCACAGCAAGGTGACTGAGGCCTGGGCAGGCAGCAGGGGCCTGGCAGAGAAGCCCTGTTGCTGGAGAGCCTCTTCCAGACCCAGGTCCCCCTGACTCGGTTTCCCCGAGTGGAAAGGGTGTTGCGCATGGGTTTCAGGAACCTCCAGTCACAAGGTGCTGTTTTCTAGAAGAGGCCACTCCCTGCTCCCACACTGACACCCAGCTCTGGGGGTGCAGGTGGCCAAAGTCCAGGCTCACACACATGCCCTCGCTCCCCCCAGACTGCAAAAGTCAGGCACCTGCTGACAGTGGCCCTCCCTACAGCACTGTGAGGTGGGACCACACTGTGCCCTTTTCACTGAGAGGAACTGAGGCCGGATTCACAGGGCAAGTTGGGATTTAGGCCCCCTGACACTCCAGGGTCACAACAGGCAGCCTCTGCCTCCAGACAGTCCAGGACAGGAGACAGATATAAAATTTAGCTGGAGTAGGGGGTCAGGATCCATTTTCCCAAACCCTTGGTCCCCTGGCCCTGCAAGGCCAAGCCCGGCCTTGCCCACTGTGTAACCCAGGATATGGATGTGCCGCTCTCAAACTGTTTTCTCACCTGTAAAATGGGTGAGAATGTCAGCTTCACCTAAAGGACACCTGACATTCAGAGCCACAGGAGTTCAAAGTCCTCCAGGGGAACACCAAGGCCCTACAGGGCACTCTACCAGCCCCACTCCCTTCCCTCATTCTGCCCCACCCGTACTGGCCTCTACCCCTTTCCCAGCACCCTCCTGCCTCAGGCCCTTTGCACATGCAGTCCCCTCTGCCCAGAGCATCCTCTCCCAACATCCACACTCCTCACCCTCGCCTCCTCTGGCCTTCAGGACTGACATGTCACCTGCTCTGACAGGCCACATGGCAGCACACACAGCCAACTCTGCTCTCTTCAGTCTCAGCCCAAGAGCCACCTCCTGTGGAAGGTCCCTTCTGCCTGGACCACAGCTCCAGTGGCGTAACTCCTGTGAGTACATGCTTCTGGAGGACAGGGGCCACTTCTGTCCCCCTCACAGTGGAACTCTATGGTGGGCCTAGCCCTCGAACCAGAGAACAGCTCGGATGCTCGGGCCCCTTCTGGTGAGATCAGAGGCTGACCAGAGCCCAGGGCCTGGCAGGGGAGGGGACAGGGTCACTGCTGAAGGAAGAAATGGATTGGGGGGGCTGGGGCGCGCTCAGCGGTAGAGCGCTCACCTAGCACGTGCGAGGCCTGGGTTCATCCTCAGCACCACGTGAAACAAATAAAACAAAATAAAGTAGAAAAAAGAGAAGAAATGGATGCACAGCACCCACAGAGGGCCCAGGACTCACCAGGGACACCTGGGTCCTGAGAAGGTGGCCCAGAGAAGGGAAGGGGGTGCCCAGCTCGTCACCTGGCTCCCCCTGCACTGCCCTGCTGGGTCTCGGGAGTCCCTTCTCCCGGGGGAGCCGGGGGGAGAGGGCGGGCGCCCTGCTCCTCGGGGAGGGGGCTCCCGGGCTCCATCTGTCCAGTCACAAAGGGGCTTTGTCCCACTGCGCCAAGAGCCGGGGCCGACCGGAAGCTGGCCGCAGCAGCCCAGCACCCATGTCAGCCGGGGCCTGCTCCAGAGCCAGGCTCCCAGGGCTGGCCCCGGGTGGGCACGGCCTGTGAGGTCTGCTCTCCTCGGCAGCAGCCCCAGGAGAAGACTTGTGGCCAAGGTCCACCGGCCAGAGCGCCACGCTGGGACTCCAGGCCAGGTGCCGGCACCGCAGGCTCAGCAGCTCCCAACGCAGCCCGGGAGGAGGGCAGAGCCTGCACCCGAGTGGGCACCTGGGCCCCTACAAGGCCTATGGGCTGCAGCGCATGTCCCTGCCTCCGGCCAGGCAGCACCGTCCACCCGACAGGCCACCTGCCCAGCGGCACCCGCCTTCTCTGCAGGCCTCTGTTCTCAGTGCAGCCAGCAGGCCACCTCACGAAGCCACACTGCCTGAGCCAGCAGGCTCCCCAGGGCCCTCCTCACTGCCCAGGGACAGCGCACAAGCTCCCTGATGGGGACCGTGGCTCTCCATGAGGGGAACCAGCCAACCTCCCAGCCCAAACCCTCAGCAGCCCTGGTTCCAAAACAGGGGCTGCCCACAGAGCACCAGGGCTGTGACCCAAGCTCTGCCCCCACAGACCCCGCAGGCTCCAGGTGCATCCCAGCACCTCTTCCCCAGGAGCCAGGCCACCCCACTCCAAACCCAGAACAGCCCCTTCCTTCCGCCCCATCTGGGGCACTCCAGCCCGGTCTACCCACCACCTGCCCACGCCCATCACCCCAGGCAACGTCCAGCTACCCTGAGGGTTTCAGACCCCGCCTGGTGAACCAGTCCCCTCCCAACCCCCTGGCACACGCTCCGGCCGCCCAGGCCAGGTGATTCCACACCGGGCCTCGTGCCAGCCGCCCCTTCCCTGGCAGGCTGGAGCTTCTCGTGAGCTCCTGCTCACCCTTTAAGAGCCAAGCCTGGTGTCACCTCCTCCGAGAAGCCCTCCTGGCCCCGTGCTAGGCCTCCAACCGGCCAGGCACCTACCCCGGGACAGGGCAAGGACAGGGCCTGTATCTTGCTCCCCACGCTGGAATACAGCTGTTCCCAGAGAGCACCCCTGGGGTCCCCAGCACCATCACAAGGCCCAGACCAGTGGCCACCTCGCACCCGGAGAACCCAGGGGCAGAGTCCAGGCGCGCCCGTGCTGCCCACGAGCCGGGGACCTGCAGTTCGGGTGGAGGGGGAGGAGGGGGAGCTTTGTGCAAATGGCCAAATGGTACCAAACCCACGTCGTTTCTAAACTAGGGCACAGGAGAGGAACGGGAACAGCCGAGTTGTCCCCAAATAGAACTGTGGCTCATCTGGTTCCGTGGCCTTCGGGAACACCTGGCAGGGTGGGGGTGGGGAGAAGTG